ATCTTAGTTAATTATTACATTTAACAAAAATTTTGAACTTCAAAAATAAAATGTTACAAAAAAAATAAAAAAATATGTACAATATTTAATATTTATTAAAAATTTAGGAACAATTTATTCACACCAAGTTCCCTTCGTTTCTTTTTGGACTACATGACATGCAAGTGGTACCATATCAACAATTAGAAAGAATTTTATTAGTCTAATTAATAGATGTTTCTCAAGTAGATTATTTTGATACAAAATTAATAGTTTATAAATCATTTAAAAAAATTATTTTTAAACTAAATTTAAATAAATCACATAATTAATAAATTATTTATTAAATTTAACCTCATAATAGTAATAATAATACTATTTTAGCCTTCTAGTTTCCCTTTGTTTAAATTTCCCTTCTTATGCATTTATACTGGTTAGGGGCGAAATTTTGAGAAAAAAGATAATTAATGCTACATTAATTTTCTAAAATAACAATTAAAAAGGATCAAATTTCCCCAAAACGGAGAGATAATTAAAAAAAGAAAAAGAAAAATCCGACTACTGTATATCTGGTTTATGAGTAACGATGATGGTGATGTTGTATAAGGACTTGCATTGAGGTTTGGACTCATTCGTTAAAACATATGATTCCTCTTTGAAAATCGAAACCTCCATGGATGCAGTCAAAGCTTCAACTCTGACCAAAGAAAATTCAAACGCCACTAACATAGAAAAGAAGAATGAAAAAGTCACCAATTAAAAACGTTGAACATTATAAAGCACATTCGCCTTTCAAGTTTCAAATTGTGGAAACGAAGTCAGAAAATTGTTCTTCCTCTTGCTAAATCCCCAAGTACAGCTTTTTGATTCCTTAGAACCTTCTACAGAACCCCAGATTCACTCACCTCATTTCCGTTCTCAAATTATAGGTTTTGGGTTTTAGGGGTTTTGAATTGCAGCTTGCACATGGTGGTTTGATCACAAATTCGTGGAATGAGCAATTCATGATCTTGTAATAATGGATGGATCGGACGGTGGTAGCTGCAGTTCAAGTGTCCCACTGCCGCCGCCTTTTCTTTCGAAGACATACGAGATGGTGGATGATCCCATGACCAACTCCTTGGTGTCATGGAGTGAAACTGGTTGCAGTTTCATTGTGTGGAATCCACCTGATTTTTCGAGAGATTTGCTGCCAAAATATTTCAAGCACAACAATTTCTCCAGTTTTGTTAGGCAGCTCAATACATATGTAATGTTTCTTCACTTTATGATTCTTTCAGTTATGAAATTGAAGTTTTACGGTCTATCCTGCAAAAAATAAAAACCAGTACGGGGTACGATAAGACGAAAATAGCATCAGTGTATCTTCATGCATCTCTAATTTTATCCTTTCTCACCTCAAACTGATTTCTTTTATGCAGTGGGCGGTAAAAACCTTTTCTGTTTAGTTATCTTTGGCTTTATGTTAAGACGTTTTGTCTGGTTTAATTTGATAATGATTTCTTAAGTATTCATATTGAGACTTTTTTTTTTTTTAATATTTGATATTAAGTTATATAACAAGAATAGGAAATCATAAGTAGTGGAACATCCACTAAGGGACATGCTTTGTTTTCTTTTATGCATCAATGGTGATCTCTAATTATTCTCTTGCTTTGATTGAGTAGGGATTCAGGAAGATTGATCCTGAACAATGGGAGTTTGCGAATGAGGAATTTATAAGAGGGCAGAAACACCTTATGACAAAAATTCATAGGCGCAAGCCAATTCATAGCCATTCTGTGTATAATAATCAAGGGAAAGATGTTCCCTTAACTGATATAGAAAGAAGGGAACTGGAACAGGAAATTGGAAGACTCAACAATGACAAGAATCGACTTCGGTTGGAACTGCAGAGGCATCAAATAGAGAATCAGAAATTGCAGTTCCAAGTGCAAGTTTTGTCCGAGAGATTTCAAAATTTGGAGAACCGTCAGGGACAGTTGATGACTTTCTTGGGTCAACAGTTGCAGAAACCAGAGTTTGCCATTTTCCCTGGACAGCAGTCGGAAATTCATGATCACAAGAGGAGAAGGCTGTTGAAATTCATCCAGGGAGACCACCAACGTCTGACTTCCCAGAGTGGAAATCTTCTGCTGAAATTGGAGCAGATTGAGAAGCTGGAATCATCTATAAAATTCTGGGAAACATTTTTGCTAGGTGTTAGTGAGACCTTGGTTAAAGAAGTACAACCTCCTCCAATAATCGTAGCTGAAATGCAGGCATCTTCTGGAGATAGTGAACTTTGCTCATCCACACCTTATCATCTAACTGATGTTAATTCATCCCCGGAGCTTGGTGGACCTGTTTATCATGTTAATGGTCTTCCTGCGTCATCTTTTGTCGACATTATGCCAAAATCTTCGACAATAGATATAAATTCTAAGCAGGCTACTGTTTCTGAGTCCTTCAGAGAAACGGAACTGCAAACAACCGATCATCCTTTGCCAATGAAGGTCAATGATCACTTCTGGGAACGATTCCTGACAGAGGCACCTGATTCATCTGATGCATAAGGAAGGAACGGGGATGGCTGGAAGAGTGACAAGATAACAAGATCAACAATGTAAATTCCTCTATGCGTTCACTTTTAGACATACGTAAGTTTGTTAGTCTCCAATGGATATGATTTTTGGTGAATTTGTATGAGTAGAATTTATAGAAACTGATGTTAGGTTAGTAAGCATGTTACAGAATAGGCAAATTAAAAACAATATTTCCTCTTCAAAAATAAGCTTCCATGTTCGGCCAAAAAAAAAAAAAAAAAAAAAGCTTCCATGTTCGGCACAAAAAAAAATAAAGCTTCCATGAAATTTTACACTAGCAATCATTTACATAACTCAGTATATGTATAGGAGCCATATGCCAATCCAATCTGATATGCTGCAGAATTTGCCGTTGCAATATACAACATGTCTTACATGTGTTGGGTAAAAAAAAAACAACCTCTTCTACAAAAAGAACAATAATGCTGGGTAAAATTCCAGCTTTGCTGTTGGTATCATGGAGGTAAATGGAAGTACAGAGTTTGATAAGTAGAACATATCCTCGGTCATAAAACATCTCCAAGAAAAACCTAAATTTCAACCAAGTATCAGTACATCTTAACTGGATGTTGGGAACAACATGATCTTTGCATTAAAACCATGCATGTTAAACATTCAGCTTGCCAGAAGTTGCAATAAGCTGTGATCATAGGTCAATTGACATTGAGGAAAGTACAATTGAGAAGCTTACTAGGTTCATCAAATTGCTATCATGTGATCTTCCAGGCTCTCAAAGCCGATCAATCTTGATCATCCATCTACTCAAGGATGACATACTTTGCAGTTAGATTTGTTGTGGATGATCTTGCTAAATCATTTGCATCTAGTTGATCCTTCAGTAGCTTTTGGTATCTGAAGAAGGAAGAAAGTTAAAGCATGGCGATGTTAGGAAAGCTTAACCAGGGCAGAAATCAGAAGGTTGCATCAAGTAAAAATGCACCACGCCCTGAAACTCCGGAAAGATGGAATGAAATTAAGAAATGTCAATTGATAAAATGCAATTGCAAAAATGGTAACAGTTACAAATAACTTATTGAGAGAGCAACAAATGGTTCAGTATGAACAGAATCAAGTATCTTAGATTAAGCACGTCTAAAAACAAGATTGACCACCACCATCTAATTTAGTTTTAGATCCAATCCTACACCTCTTGAAAAATTTAGTTTATTGATTAATAGATACCTCAAAAGTTCTTCAGCTCCTGTGATGAATAAGCAATATAGAACAAAATAAAGAGAGCATACTAAGTAATTTCCAAAGATTTATATCATACACGGATGCACACTAAGTTTCAGCATGTAACAGAACCATAAGCAATTAAAGAAATACATGGTGATCATTGTTTTGCTTCAGTGGCACTAAAGCAATAATAACTCTAGTCTAGACCTTTGTAAAAAGGATATTAGAAAAGCGGGCACCCTATCCATTTAAAGGAAAAAGAAAGAAAGATTTTAAAAATAAATCAATGGAAAAGGCAAATTGGACTTTTTTCAGAGTATGGTTGATTCAAGAACAAAAAGGTTTAGGAATTGTTTGGGAGAACAAACTTGATGACGACTTACTTATACCAGTTGAATAAACCAACTCCAACCATTATTGTGATGAGTCCAACCCCTTTTAACCAGGTAAATTCATCATGGAAGTAAAACACAGCAACCTGAGCCAAGATTAGGAAAAGAGAATCAGAAAATAAAACAAAGCCATATCCTGAAAATGTTGGTGGAGCACACAACAGAAAAATAAGGAAAATGCTTTCAGAAAAGTTTGAGTTAAAAAATTATTCCTTGTGCCATATGTCATTTGCAAAAGGAAAGATATGAGCAATTACTACGTTTTGGGGTTAGCATCAATGCAAGAAACTACTTATGCTAATTGACAAAGAAATGAATTACAACAAATCGATCACACAACAGGATCTCATTGCAGAAAACCAGGTAGAATTATTCCTCCTGTGAGTATACTTTACCCATGTACGTACTTGCTTTGTTCTAGGTTAAATAGATTTGTTTGAAATTGGTATCATACAAGATAGAACATAAAGCCCAATAATACTATATGGATTTTAGGAATGACACCAGAGGAACTGAAAAGATTCAACTGGAGGATGCATGCTGGCTAGGACCCCACACCAAATCCAAATACGGCCTTGTAATTTTCTGAAAATGACTCAAACAAAGCCATTCACCAACCAATCATAAACCCAGTCATAAGATTTGCTTTTGCAGTTAAAATTTGAAAAGCCTGTCCATCTGTAAAAAGAAAGTTCCTCCACCAGTTTCATTCCTTGCAGACTGGTCATGGGGAACTCTCAGCTAAGCACCATGTAAGAAAACACATTAATACAGTAACACTGGTCATCCATGCACTCATACATCAAATGTTATTAAAATGTTCCAATGTTCTCCTAGGACCCCATTTCAGAAATGAATTAAGTTCCAATTGGATGAAACCGTATAGAAAAGCTTTCAGAAAAATTATTAAAAGAGTTCCATTCTTGGAAAATCATATCCTCTAATCATAATCATGCCATGCAATGACAAGATTTTTTTGTCTCCAGTAATTAGAGTGAAATTCTTACTTTTGCAGCTTTACTTCAACTCTAGGTGCCAATATCACATATTTCACAAGATGCTAGATAAGTCTCTTTTAGAGATAGGATAAGGTCATCAGGAGGACTGAGGAGAGAGTGAAAGTTTAGTTTTAGGGTTATATACAATAAGCACATTCTAAATACATTAACTTCAATATTTTCTACGAGAAAGCTGGTGTTGTTATGCTGCTTCTTGTCTAAATGGCATTCCTAACATTGTATATTACTTCTGATGTTATTCCTTTTTTTTTTTTTTTTTTCAGAACAGAAATATACTGGAAGTTCATAATGAATCCTGCATCTTACAATCAAAGAATCACTACTGCAGTAAGGGAAGAACACAAAACCCTTCAAAATAATTCTCGAAATCACACTTACCTCAACATTTCCAAAAATATATTGCTATTTCCCTCAGCAACCTATGGCATTAATCAGACATCTTGAAGAGACTTAAATATACCTTTTTTTTTAATAAGTGGAAAGACAAAAAAAAGGACATACATTACCCATCATGATCTTATTATATGGGATTTAACCGGTTTGACTAATTATCAATTAACTTGAATAAATCAATTGTAACTTTTAATTCAAGCAAACAGACTTTCTAAAATCTTTTCAAGTCACTTTTTTTTTCTCTCTAAAATCTACCCTGCCTCCATGTTGTTTCTCATTATGTAGAATGAGCCAATTTTAAACATTCTAACTTTAATTTTTCTAAAGGTTTGGGGATAAGTGGAATTCCAACTATAGTTCAGGGTGTTTTTTGGAAATTACCCACACTGTAAAGAAATTTGTTCACAAGGTTAGGAATGCAGCTATAGAAAAAGAAACACGACCACCAGCCTTAAAAGCTAGAGATTCACCTTTTATGCAGCATTTCCTAAAGGTTTAAACTTTTAAGCTTCAATAACAAAACATAATACTCATGCCCAACAATTTCTTTCTCATGTTTAGCTAGAGGTTTACACAGTTTGATTCGGTTCCATTTTTGCAATTTTGGAGAAAAACTTAAATTTTCAATTTTTTAAATTCCAAATTAAAACTGAACCTTTGTCAAACTGAAGGGCATTGAGAGCTATATTTCTATTGTCTTATCCATCCTCAATCATATCTTTCAAACCTTCCATAATATATGCACTGGTCATTGCCTCCAACTTTTGATACTAATTAATTGGAAAAATCATATCAGCCAGCACACATATCTCACATCCTTTTGGATGACAGTGAAAGAGCTTGAATAGGGGATGAAACAGAAGGGGATTCATTCAACTCCCACAGAGAAAGGCTGGTATATAAAAAGTCAATTATTCAGATGTGTTAGCAATTAAGCAATTATGATCGCTACAAGATGTTAAACTTTCTAACATGAGAATCGTGAAATTCAATAGAAATTATTTTATGCACAAGTTATCCTTAGAAGACTTGTTTCAAGTTATCAACTCATTCTGAAATATTGCAATTAAGAAAGAGAGAAAAGCATCACAGGTGTTCATAAAAAGCTTCAAAATGAAGTTAGAAAATGAAGTTATGAATAACTAAAAGATTACTCCTGCTGACCAATGGAAATAAATGTATTTAAAAAGAGAACGGTGATCAAGTTGAAAGTATTACCAATATTGTGACGGCCTCCTTAACAACACCAGCTATCGTCACTGTAACAGCACTGGTTACTGAAACAAGAATGTATTCCATCAAAACCTGCAACAAGAGGAACTGTTTGTTTACTTCACTACTAGAGATTTACAACTCAGAAGCATAAGAATCATGTCAACACTATAAACTGGTCAACAAGAACTTTATTGACCCACAACCCCCGTTCAGAAGGAAAACAGAAAGGTAAAGTACATAGAGCACTAAATCTAGATTCCTACCATAAAGAAGGCCAGTGTACCACCAAAGAGCATCAAGAAGCAACTTTGAGCAACATGCCATGAATTATTAAAGTAATTGTTCTTTCTGAATTCATGCCATGGATCCAAGAAGAGAGAAAGAACAGCAGTTGCTCCTGCCATTACTGGAGTAAGGTAGCTCATCAACATAAGCGGATTTCTCAAACCTGAAAACAATTTAAACAGAAGCCACCTTAGAGCAAATGGTGCAGGAGTCGAGAACAAAACCAACTTCAATTTTTTTAATAAAAAAAAAAAGGAAACAAAATAAATTTCGTGATATGGAAATCCAAGTTTCAAACAAGAAGTAGAATGTTGTAGATAACTACCCTTTGTCATTTGCATCACCATTAAGCCTGGTTAACTTGAAGTTTATAACTAGTCAAAGAAATAACAATTTTTAAATAGACCACACCCTCCATAAATCATGTCCGCTTGAAATTCATACTTTTCTATCATAAGCAAATACAATCCAACCATTTCCGATTTAACATATAACCTCCAATCTTCTGTAAAGATAAGCAAATACAATCAAAAGAAGTGAAACGCATTCTTTCCAACGGCACCATGCCTTTGGGAGAAACTAGTACCAATTTCCTCTTGATGGAATTAATACTCAAGGATATTTCTTTGAGAAAAATGGAATTTCGATCAAAGAACTTAGCCTGCTCAGTATCAACAGAAGAAAAGAAAATTATAAGATTAGTTTGGCATTTTTTATTAATTTTGGCATTTTTTGCAAAAAAGACAAACACCTACAACACCAGCACCTAGGAATTGCCTACTTTCTGCAACAAAAGGCAGGCAGCTGGGGAGCAAGACAATTCATTCTTAGTTAGATGAGAAATGATCTAGCATGGCCTTCAACTTTGCACAAAGGCATATTTATGGTTTCTTCAGTTTTGAAAAAATTTTCAAACCAAATCGCATTGTTAGGATTTTTAAAATTTTTTTATACCAAACCATACTGACAGCATGTGGAATTGAAACTTACTAAACCAAAATTTCAATTTATAAGAACTAAGTAGAACGACAGACCAAACATATATTTACTACAATAATCTCAATAGAAAACAATTACCCCTTTATATTACCAGCCTATTATTTATCTGGTATGATATTTGGGTCATTTTGGAACATGAAACCTAAAATGTGTTGGGCCTATAAACATAAACACATAATTTTATAAGGAGTAGTTCAGTTGATATTCTTGCAGTTTCTGAACTTCAAACCAGAAACCACAAACTGAACCAGACCTATTCAGTTTGAGATTTTTTCAGACTAAACTGAACCAATTATGAAGAAAAACCAAAATAAACCCAATCATCAATTTGGCTCAGATTTACACTTGCTGCAGCTTTTTGAACCTCCTAGGTCCTAAGAGAGAGAAAATACCTTTATAATCCCAAATCTGAAACAAGACATGAAGCAAAAAATTGTATAGTTTGGGAAAAGGGGAACAGCTCCATGTTTATATGACAAAGCAGGTATGTATGAGTCATGGAGGAAAAATATTGACAATATCTGAGAGTCCTATTTTTTTGGGATAAAATACTGTACAGATGTTATCTAGAACAAAAATAGATTCTGATAAATATTGAGTAAATTTAATCATGCAGACTTAATAGTATGATAACAATGAAAGTGTACCTAAATTAACAAGAACAGAGAAAGGGGAGAGGTGTACCAAAACAAAAGGAGCAAAATGAAGATTATAACGTACCAGAGGCTTCTTTCTTTACATTGTGCATCATCCCAAGCACCATCAAATTGAAAAGTCAAGGTTGGAGACAGCAAAATAAATTAATGAATATATGTAAAAAGGCATTACCGCTGATTAAAAAAAAGGGTTTAAAAGCATTAACTAAAAAATGGTCAGAAACAATGTGAACAAGAAATTACTCACACCCATACCTGCAGAAGAATTTGAGTCATGCACCAGCGGAACCCAGACATAACAGCAGCAAGCATAACAAAGAGAAAACCCCAAAACTCAAACTCTGTCTCCTTTGAAACTGAATATAAAAAGGATACAAATATGAATGAAAAATGCAGCCATCAAGTACATAAATATCTGATATGTGTGTGAGTGCGCGTGCGTGCCTGCATTTATTTACTTATATGAGGCAGGATCCTCTCATGCATGTAAGAATTTGCAACTCCTGTACTAGACAATAATTTTCTGTACAGTTCATATTTCATCAAATCAACCATTAGATTGACAGTTCTATACATACCGGTTAACAAAACTCCAAAGGAGATTACTACAATAATACCAAAAAGTTTAATGCTTGGAGACTCCAACCTTGCAAAGCAACATTAAAAAAATTATCACCAGAACAAAAAGCACTATAAAAAGAGCAAGTCTCATCAAATGCATGCAAGACAGTTAAAGCAGTGCAAGACCAACAGTAATTACAGATTAGTTATTACATAAGCTTGATCCTTATTAAGTGAAACAACTATTTTTAAAGCAAAGCATAATACATAACATAGGATTAATGGCATCATACCTCCACTATAAGAAAATAGTGAGCAAGAAGAAAAATCGTTGTAGGCAAATGGGTGAAGTACTTACGGATAGAAGAATCTATTCACCTATTTACAGGTGCAGATTGCAGAAAGAATAATACTTGATTCCCATGCAAAGCCCATGCAGTTGCATCTAAGATACAAGAAACCTGATAGTCTAATTCTATCACGTGAATTATTGAAAAAATTGTTATATTTTGTTTCTGGAGTTAATTTTATTCACTATGTATCCTATTTTATTAAGGATTTTCATTTATATTCCTAGTCTACATAAAAAGCAAAGTCATTTAACTTTTTTTTTTTTTTTGATCATCCAGTCATGTAACTTCTAATAACTAATAAGCTTAATGGATTGGCTCCCATTTCATTAAAATCTATTATTCAATCACCCAATTCTTCTTGAGAACCCCATCAAACATGCTATTATCACCAGAAAAATAAAGGTTCAATGATGTAACTAACTGGAAACAATCTAAAATACATTCAAAAAACTTTAAAAGGCATGACTATGTAAATCTAGAAAATGATTAGACCATATATCCAAAGTGAGCTTTGCCTTTTCATTCATTTAAGATCATTTGCTTTGTTTCACTAGGACCGTGAAAATAGAACTTTAGGAAGCTAGACAGAGAGAATAACAGTCCTTTGAGATTTGTATCAGACCACACTAAGTTGGAGATTGTATATGAATAAAGACATAAAATTCACCTGAACGCAAAAGCAAATAGAAGGAGAAATATAGGGGCTCCAGATTTACACTGCAAAGACACATATAAAAGTTTGAGTCAACCAGAACTCACCCAAATTTTTTTTTAAAAAAAAAATGCCATGGAAAAGAGACTTGTGAAGTTTGGGGACAAAACATCATATGCAATAACAATTGAAAATATAGAAAGGCTAACTAACCATTGTGGCAAATGTAACAGAGATAAAAACAAGGGACGCATTGCTTAGGTCAACATCTGATGCTGTTGAAAGAGCTGTTGATACAACTGTGAAAGCAAAGTCCATCTGTAATATTAGTTGATAGAAAAGTTAATAAAAAAAGTTACACAGAAATGAACAGCACTAAAGTAGTTCTAGACTGTTGAATTGTATTATTGAAGCCTAAGAGTAGGGAAGATGATTTAGAAAAATGAAAATGTCATGCATTTAGGTCTGAGACTATTTAATTGACTACAGGTTATTTGACAAAATTGTTATCTGTGGACAAGAAACTTGTGGCATAGAAAGGCACATATTTGATGAATTTACCTCTGGATAAGTAATCATTCCATGACATAGGAAAATTTTGTTGAAACGTATCAGACCAATACCATGTAATCAGCTTTGATAAAACAGCTTGAATTGTGAAGTGGACAGTATTCATCAACATGGGAGCTGGGAACTTTCCCAGATGATCTCCTAAAAGAGTTTTGTTGTACCTACATGGTCATTGCATCATAATAGGAAAAAAGAATGAGCTTGCAAAGGGAAGAGATTAAATGTAAGTAACGTACTTCATATTATTGACTAGGCAAAAGGACTTACAACGTCAAAAATGTGCTGAAAGTGTACCACACAAGTATAAAAAACAATGTTTTCAATACATCAGCAGCAGAAACAGAGCTTCCAGAATGCATGGGCAATTTGCCATGAATACCAACAGAATTAGCTCCATTGACAAAATTATTTGATAACCTTAGGTCCCTAACAGTTTCAGTTTCAACATCAAAAGGCAAATACTTTTTGTTGCCATCTTCCCCACCATTTATAGAAGAATCATCTGTGATAATACCTCCGTTTAACCGCATACTTTGATATGGAAGGAATCTGTTAGCTTGTACACAACTGTTTCGTACATCACCCTTGTGAAGCAAAGGCAACTGAAAATCACAGTCTTCTATGCCAGCATCAGTAATCTTTAACTGGTATTTCAAATGCACTTCCCCAGCTTCATTAACCAAACATGAGAATGGATTCTCCCTGCAAAGACCAAAATGTTGAGTTCCAATATGAGTATGGTAGGCTGTCCTGCACTCAACCTTTTCAACAGTGAAATCACTATCTACCATCTCCTTTCTCATTCTAAGTTAGTCATCTATATACATCGCATTCCAAGTCAATCAACACAATAAGTTCCCATCAATTTTCGCAGCCACATCATTTTTCTTAGATTTAACCAGAAAAACTAGCATGCTAACCATATCTTAAGCAACAAATAATAACTGCCCAAAATAAACTACCAATCAAACCCATCAGTAGAACAAAATGGAGCTTTTCTACTCAACAATCAAAAGCATACATCAAAAATCTAAACCTTTATTGAATCTTAACACCATTCATTCAATTGTAAAGTATAACATTTAAGTTAAATAAGAAGATTCTACAAAGCAAGGACAAATAGAAAAAAAAAAAAAGAATGTTACTCCTAGACCAGCCGCGAGGATGGACCTGAACTCCGCCATGCGTCGTTGCGATTAGCAGAGGAGAGAGATCTGATCTGGGCAGGGCGGGGCGGGTGCAGAATCAAGATACATTTGGCTTAAGAGTTACCATCTGTTGTTGTGTTGCCGCTGATATGTTGATTTCTGTTCGCTGCCTGTTGTTTTTGCGTATGTTCAAAGTTACTACCAATTTTTTTTTTTTTTAAGAAAGGTAATGGTTACAAAGTTAGTTTAAATTAATTGTTAGTAACTAGAGATTCGACACCAAATGAATATTTCACCCCTTAAATGAGACGTGCAGTCATTAATTTATTCAAAATCTATATTTATTTATTTAATAATAATATATAAAAATTATGAAAAAATTATTCTTATATCACCATATTAAAAAGTTAGTATACAGGGATCTACAGTTTTCCACTTTTTTGCCAATCATATCTGTATTTACATTTTATTCCAATGTTTTCAAAACTGGACTGGTCATTGAACCGTTTTCAGGTTCGGTTCTCAATTTGATTGGTTCAATCGGTTGAACCGGTGAACCGATCGATTCAAACAATAAGAAAGGTTTGATGAGAGGAGCAAGCTATAGGTATGGACTTTTTTATTTGGTGTTGATAATTTTGTAATTTTGTTAAAGTTAAAGGTTAAAATGGGTATAAGAAAGGAATGGGAAGGGTAAAATTGGAAAAAATTGAAAGAAGATTGCATGAGAAATTGAACCGGTAGTTTTTCTGGTTCCACCGGTTCTACCGGTTTTTATTGGTTTTTACCGGTTTTTGACCGGTTTTTACCGGTTTTGACTGGTTTTGACTGGTTTTGACTTCAAATGGTTTTCTTATATGAACCGAATCATTTTTATCATCGGGTACCGATCCGACCGGTTCAACCGGCCGGTCCGGTCCGGTTTTAAAAACCTTGTTTTATTCCCATTTATTTCCACCGAATGGGTGTGGGACTCCAGAGCAAAGCTTTTGAGTTTAAGCTTTAAAATTGGTTAGAGAGAGATTAATGGAAGAATTATCTTATGTTAATTTATTGTATATTCCATTTTTTAGTATATGAAAAAAAATTATGAATTTTTTTTAAAGGATTGAGAAAAATTAACACATTATGGTAATTAAAATGTTAAAAATGATAAGAAAAATATTTAATTACTCATAATGAATTAATAAGTGAATGAGAGTGCATTTGAGATTGTGGTTAGAGGCTTTTATTATGATTGTACAAAGTTTTTAGATATATATGTTTGGTAATTTTTTTCAAATTATTTTTCAAAAATTATAGAAAATCATGATAAATCCAAACCAATTTTATATATAAAATTAAAAATTTTATTTTTAAGTTTTCAGATTATACTTAATATTTAATATTTAAAATAATTATAAAATTATCTATTAAAACCCAACTATGTTAATTCAATTACATTATAATTTATCATATTTTATTTAAACCTAACTTTTCATTTGCATGAAGATTCCATAAAATATAAAAAAACTCATTCTGTCTTTATGAACTACTCTTTTGTAAAATCCAAAAGAACACTTATTATATAAGACCTAAAAACCTAAATTATTACAAAGTAAAACATGCTGACTATTTTAATAATTATACATCATGCAATATTTTTTAAATTTTAATTAATAATTAATAAAATTTATCATATCTTATTTATATAATACTTTTAAAAAATAAATAATCAAATATTAAAATAACTTTTCATCACAGTTATAATATAGCACAATTTAACATAATCACAGTTACAACGACTATTACAATACTTCATGACAATCTTACACGCACCTTAAGATTCATTAGACATTTTAATGATTTCATAAGTAATGTTAACATTTTAACTATAATGTCTTGATTTTCTTGTTTCTAATTCTAATTTAAAGTTCGTTTGCATATCATTTTTATACAGGACCTTATCTAAAAATGTAAATTTATTATTTTTAATTCATTTTAATTATTTTCATATATTTTTACCAATTTTAAGTAATTAATATTTTATATATTTTTTAATAATAAGAAATAAAAACACCTATAACAACAATAGAGTGCTATAAACAACGCTTAAGAAGAAAAAGCCGTTTGCTTCTTCATTTGAGTTGAGGGAGGTGCAAACTTGAACTACTACTGCATTGTTATTTAATTTCTATATAATGCCGTGAATGATTCCTTTCATCAACATTAGATTAAGGTATACGTATATTCAAGGCTAAATGTCATACTTAACCTTAAATACAATACGCTATCATCCCCTGCAATTTGAGTGAGATGAAAGCACACACAAATTGGACTGCTGAGAGTAGAAAGCAAACGTAGATAGACTTATGGTGAGAATATCAACTTACTGTAACAAAGAAGGAACATGCTGCAAAAAAATGGAACAAAAAGCAACCTTTTCACGAACAAAGTGGATATCGATCTCAATGTGCTTTTTCTATTGATGCTGTACAAGATTAATAGCCATAAAAGAACTGAAATTATCACATAAAAGAACTGGAGTAGAAAAAAGGAATACCTATAACCTTACCTATAACACACCTCCCCTAGGTACCCTTAGTCATAGAGAAGTCCTAAAATAAGAACTATAGTAAAAGGTTGTAGCAAAAGTAGAAACATTTCTAATATAAAATGTTTCTTTAAAAGAAAAACTTGCATTCAAATCAATTTAAAAATTTACAAAAACAAAATAAAAAACCTGTAAAGAAAAACTATTTTAACAAAAAAATATAGTAAGAAAATGTCAATACTCAAAGTTATAAAATAAGCTAGGCCAAGCTCATTCTAATTAATTTAAATATTATATATATAAGTAATTTACACAAAAATTATAGGAGGGCAAATTCTTCTCCAAAACTTTTCAAAATAACAAAAGCCAAATTATCGTTTTGGTAATACATTGATCTGCCTTCATATCAAAAGTACGAGGTCCTAGTTTCTACTTACAACAAGCATACATGACCTCTACCAAAGCTTCTCAGCTAGTGACTGCTACTCCAATCTACAAATCTAAAATGAGGGGAATATCTTTAGTTAAAAGCCCAGTAAGTATTAAGTTTAAACTACAAACTTGGGTCCTGAGACCCCTAGACCTATACACATGAAGGGCATGAGAGACAACGAAACCAAACCACATAATATTATAAATCTCAGTATTTAAATAATAATCTAATATCCCAAATCAAAATCAAACACATCAAGAAATAACCAACGACATTTGAATCAAATTCATATAATAAAATCATATGCTCACAAATACAAAATCACAAGCATAATGCATAAAACCAAAAGCATACAATGCTATGGAGTCCACTAATGTATGCTAGTAACACTTGTACCAAAGCTAATCATAGCACACCCTACTGCGTAGAGATCCACTAAATACCTTGGAGGGTCCACTGAATACTCTAAGCTTTAAGCTTAGGTCCACTCACTTCATAGCCACAAACACATACAAATGTCAAGTAAATTTAGAACACATTCAAAATAATATACGAATATTATTTCATTTAATATTCTACCTAGTCATTGCATGAACAGTAATTAAGACAGAAAAACCAGTTTCCTTCCAAGTTAACAAATTCATGTAGAGTCCCAACAAGGCCTAATTAATTATGTAAATTCTTATTTAATCATGCAAATATCGAAGAGATCATCACAAAAAATATGTAAGCGATACAAGCAACAACAGTAGTATTAATTAATAAAATTTGCACTAAACTCAAGTATGAAAAATAAAACTTATTATGGATTCTACCTGTTCAAGTCCTAGAAATATTAGATATTTCTAACAAAGTTTTAATGCCCAAAAAGTCTCTTAACTAAGGATTTAGGGCCAAATCTCACTAATTTAAACTAGTTTTTAGTATATTGTAACAAATCTATAACCTACCCAAAACTCTAACCCAAATCCATAGTTAAAACTTATACTTGCTTGAAAGTCAAAGCACCAAATTGAAGAAAACATTAGAAATTGAAAGGGATTTCAATTGGAGAGTGTGTCCCTAGACCTCATTCTTGGCTGGAAAAAGAAGGAAGAAAGATGCACAGGAAATGACTAAAAGAAGAAGGATGCAGGGGAAATGGAAGGTTTTGGAGACTTATTTTAAGTCCATTTGAATGGTTCTCGGTTGGTATAAAGCCATTTGGCGAAAAAAATTAGAATAATCAAGTTAAGGCCCTTCAACTCTTACTAAATTCTACTTAAACCCCTAAACTTTAAATCCACTCAATTTAATCCCTAGAACTATAAAATAAAGGACTCTAATTTTTAATCTATTCACTAAAGTATATGGGGTGTTACATCACTAGTAATTGTCACACCTAAACAATCATAGCACGGTACTTGGCCTTTACACTCAATCAAGTAACAGTATTTTGCTTTTTAGAGGACTAGGAGCCAAGAGATTGACCAAAAAACAAACAACAACAATAACTAGAAGTAGAGTGACAACTATCTAAACATCTAGCCCAATTTGTGTCTATATAAATATGCAAAAAGAAGAGAAGTCATCCATGCTATACAATACCCTTCAAATAATGAAGTATCCATTTGATGACTTAGAAATGATTTTGAGTCAATGCATGCATATATTGGTAGACTTGGTGAGTGACAAATTAGTGCAATATCTAGATGAGTAAAGGTCAATTACAGAAAGGCACCAACAATATAACAATACTAAGTAGAATCAAAATAGATAAGACTATCAAGAGTGATCTGTAGAGAGGATCTTTGGGGTTTAAGTGTAAAGGGGTGAGATTTGAGAGAAACACCCTTCTTCTTATAAAAGATTGAGTGGCTCCTTTAAGCCACCATTATTTTTGTTAGTGGAGAGTGTGGAGGAAATCCTTGGTGAGTAAAGCCAAGATAGAGGACTAGGCTCCAAGTGGTTGGACCGAACCTCTATAAAATTATTGTGCAAGTTCTTCTTCTCCACTCTCTCTTTAATTTTTGTTCTCCACTCTCTCTTTAATTTTTGTTTGGTGGTTGTAAAGAGGTGAAAATTCTCCAACTCCAATTCACCCCCCTCTTAGAGTGCATTGAGTCAACATTCTAGG